CATCCCTCCCCCGAGCCTCGGGCTCCTGCCTTGCGCAACGGCCTCCCGGGCCGCGGAGCCGAAGCGGCCGGGCGCCGGGCGGCTGCGCCCGCTAGCTGGGACCGCGGCCGGGACCCGGGGGACGAGCCCGACGTCTCCCTTCAGGAGCGCTTCTCGCTCTGTCTCTCAGACTTCCTCCCTCCCGCGCCCTCCCCCCGGCCGCCCTCCCTCGCTCCCTCCCTCCCTCGCTCCCTCCCTCCCTCGCTCCCTCCACCCCCACCCGGCCCTGCCCCCTCCTCGCGCCGCGCCGCTGCGGGGAGGGCGCGCTCCGCCGCGGCGCTCACTCCTCCCCCCCTCCCAACCTGGCGGCCGGCTCCCGCTCTTATCTCGGTCCTCGCTCTGCGGGGTCGCCTAGGTCTTTTAATTCCTCCCTCAGCCTCTTTCCCTCTCCCCCACCCACTCTCTTTCCAATCGAGGGATCACAGACTAGCATATTTTGCCAGGACGACCCCCACCCTCAGCAAAACTCGACCACCTTTGATTTTATAAAATTTTCTTTCTCTTTGCCCCTTACAGTACCCCTGCCTCCCATCCCAGAAACCAGCCGCCCCCCGCGGGGCAGACCCACCCCTTCGCCTCCTCTTCCTCCCCATTCTTCTCCCCCTCTCCCTCCTCCTCCCTCCCCCTCCTCTTCTTCCTCCTCCTCTTCCTTCTCCTCCTGGGCCATCCTGGGCCAAGTGGTGCGACCGCTGGTGCCGCCGCCAGGAGCCTCCTTAGCTGCCTTCCCCCGGTGCCCACACTGACCATCTGTGAACTTCATTTAGACATTGCAGCCCTCAGCCACACGCCAGGGTGCCAGACGCCCAAAGGTAACGTGCCAATCCTCTCTCTTTCCGACAGGGGCTGCAGGCTCCGCGACAACTGTTAGAAGAGGGTGTGAAGCAGGGCGCCCCAGCGCCCCAGGGGTGCGGCCGGGGGCAATCATGGGCATTTTCGGAACTTTGAGCAGAGGGGTTTAAATAGAGAAAACTAAAGCAAGTTTTAGACACTCTGGAAACCTGGTCGAAGAGGACTCTGCATTTGTTTCCACTTCCTTTCTGTTTTCCACTGGATGTTTTGTAAAAAATGCAAAAAGAAGGCCCACACTGAGCAAGATAAGTGAGATAGCTGTGTTCATATTCAGTCCTGAAAGAGTATGTCACTGCCACTGGTTCACATCCTCAGTCTCAGTGTTGCCCACCGAAGAGACTGTGCCATCTGAAGCTACCTTCTGTAGGAAAACACCCTACACCCGTGTCGCTTACTGCTCTCTACCTAAGAGACCGGGAGAGAGGATGTGCGCTCGGGAGGGATCACTTCCAATGAGACCCGACAGTGAGTTATTGGATTACACGTGCAAGGAAATGTAGTCTGACCGGGCCGGGGGCTGGAAGTGGGAGGAGGAGAGCAGGAGGCCTGGGAGCTGGCGGGCCACACAAGGGCTGATGGAGGCAGCCCAGAGGGGAGGTGCTGCAGACCAGGGGATGAAGGGGAGGCAGGGCTGGGCACACTTCTGTATCTTCTCTGAAAGGATAAAGGTGCAAGCTCCTCTGCTGGGCAGCCTGGGGAGGTGGAAGGGGGGTGAGAGAAGGGCGACTGTGCAGGGATCTGGAGAAAGGCAGGCAGCAAAGAGCCTGGGGAGGAACAGAGCTGAGGGAGGCCCTTGGGGCTGGCACTACCGCTCTGTACCCCTGGAGCGCTGGGGGACTGCTCCTGGCTGAGTGTGCTGATGGGGCTGTAGAAGCAGGGGTGGGGGGAGGGAGAGGTGGGGGCTGGGCTGGGGCAGGCCCCAGACAGTGACCTGAAGTTGAGTGGAAGCAGGCTTTTTCCGTCAAGCCCTGCCTGGATACCACACACGGAGACCCGAGTGTCAGTTTACTGCCCTGAGCCGCGCTCCTTTTCCCTAAGCGCCACAGTAATTAGACAAAGAAAACCTAAATTAGCTGAACAGGCGTCGACAGCTTCCTCCAGAGCACCCCTGGTACCTACATGGGAATGTGTCTGAAAATGGCTTGATTGTAGCCGAGAGTCAGCTAAGAAAACATGGCCAAAATGAACTCAGTTTACCGCTCATTTCCAGCAAAAAAAGAAACAAGTCGCTCTCTCGGAATGGGATGTTGGGATTGAGTTGGGGTAGGGGGTTTACAGTTGTTTCCACTTCTAAGAATTTCTTTCTGAGTGACTGGTGAGCATTTTTTGGGGATGGGTCCCCATTTATTTCATGATAATTTTTCTCTTACTGCCTTTTGTGATTTCATATGGAATAATGTAATATAAGTAACTAAATATAGGAGTAAATATAGAGTGTTCACTAAATCGATCCTTAAGTGTCTGAAAAATAATTAATAAAGTAGAAACTGAAGTGAGGAGGATGGATAGTATTCCAAAGGAGCTTCACCAACATAGCCATCTGTGTGTGTGTGTGTGTGTGTGTGTGTGTGTGTTTAGTGGAAAGAGAATCAGCCCAGCTGAGAAGCATAGGGAGAAGGAAGGCAATCTCATTTACGGAGGGGGGTGGTGGGGAGTCGATTTTGGGAAAATTCAATAAAAGTCAATATCACTGTCCCTGGACCCCTTCTGATTTTCTGCACCAGGGAATTTTATGTACATTGGCCCTCAGGCCCTAAAATGTTTTAGGACTCAGAAACTGAAGAATAAAAAGCACCAACCCTAAAATCCAGGCAGGGCTAGTGATAAACCTGTATACCAGTACTTCCCAGTTTGGGGGTCATGGGTCTTGTGAGAACATGATGGAAGGTATGGAGCCTACCTGCAGGAAAAAATACTCCCATTTTGCCTGGGATTTAAGGGATTCCACAGATACTCATTTAAAAAACTTCTACTCTATACATTTGTAGTTTCTATCAATTCAGCTGGTTAAATTATCAGCAATATTTTTAAGGCCCCTTCCCCAGTCAGGTGACAATGGTATCCATTTTACCTAAACTCTCTAAACTTGCAAAAATACCACTTAGAGTTGGGTGAGCGTAGCTGCAGACTAGACAAGTCCTGGAAAGGCACTGGGCTTTGGAGAGCAGTTAGAGCCCCAGCCAGGGGTAGCTCTGCTGACATGGAGCCTTTCTCTCTCTCTAGGGCCTAAATACTGCCCTGCACTCCAGAAAGATATGGAGTTGGGTGACTTTCTTAGTTATCTGAGCAGGAAGGGGCTCTTCTCCAGAAGTCTTTCTTGGAGACCCCACTTCTGCTTATGGAAAGTGTCCCCCTGGTAGAGACCCCGAGGTCTAGAAATACTAAACTCCTGCGTTTGTTCATCATCGACTTCACAGGTACAAGCCTTTCCACTCACATCACATCACCACCTGCCATCTGGCGTAGGTACCCTTATCCCCCTTTAGAGGGAAGGAAAGTGAGGCTCCGAAAGACCAGGTGACCTGCCACAAGTCACGCCTGGGCAAGTGACAAAGCTGGCCTGTCGCGTGGGCCTGGGATCCCACTTCAGTGCTGCTTCCACTGCATTGCAGCCAAACCTCTCTGAACTTCGTTTTCATTACCGATTTATATAAGGCCCCTGGGTAACAGTGCATGGCTTACCAAATTATGTCGAATTCCTTATCCCTGGCAAGAATATCTAATTTCTGTTTAGCAGATAGGGTTTAAAAGGAAAGTTGTGTTTGTCTGAAACATAGCCTTCCTTGGGACGTTCACGTCTCAGAGGTGGTGAGCTCTTCCCGACTGACTTTCATTGCCTTATAAACAACAGTCGTGATTTCTTTTTTCTTAGGGTAGGAAAGGTATGGCTCCTTGAAATGAGTAGGTCAGCCCAGGCGCTCCTTGTTAGCCAGAAGAACACAGCCTAGGGTGCGGCAGGTCCTCTCTCCATCCAGCGCTCTTCCCGCTTTGGTTGACTGTCTCCATCGGGGCTGTGGGTTCCTTTCCCGCTCCAAACCGCAAGGACCCGCCCCTGCTCCAGCGCAGGGGAATGTAAACTTCAGGAAGCTTGGGTTTCTCCGATTTTGTTCTGTAATCGGCGTTTTATTCTAGGAAATCTCTTCATTATTGTGGTTTAAATTTTATGTTCTTAGCGTGCTTCCTCTGATTCGTGGGTTTTACACGAAATGGCTTAGACTAAACCAGTTACCCACCGGAGAGACGCATCCGCACGCTGTTTACGGCCATCTGAGACCTCTCCCGCTCCGGGCGCTTCTCGCTTTGCTCGCCCCTCCTTTCCTTCCGCCAGGCCAGCGGAGGGAAACCTCTTCCCAACTCAGTCTGAAACTGACCGCTGTGTTCACCCTCTACACACTCTCTACACACCAAGTTAAACGTGTGTAGAGGATTCTCCAACTCCCGCGAGGCCCTTCTGGATGGGGACGGTGGGAACTCAGTGCCGAGGCCTGGGGGGTGTCAGTGTGTTTGAGGAAACCACGGAGGACACCTAGCCTGCACACCACAGAGACCCTCTAGAAACTTTAATTTACAGTAGAAAAATCCGGCCAGGAGACCAGGACGAGGCGCCGAGGCTGGGGTTGGAGAGGGGAGCTTGGCGATGAGGAGTAACAATGGGAATTTTACACCCTTCTGGGTGTCTGCTCTCCTTCCTCGGTCGAGAAACCCCCAGACCTCCGGGTTTGAACACCAGCCACTCAATTCCAAATGTTTATTTGG